ACTTATTTAAAATGTTTTGGCAAGAAATGTCTTGGACCAGCGCAAAGTATTTGTGTCCAATACCGTTATTGTAACTAGAAAAACAAGACCAAAAACATTAAACTATGATTCTCACCGTAAAGTAACATTTCGATATAGCTTGAAAATTAATAATGAAAATGTTCCTGTATGTAAATCCATGTACCTTGGAACGTTAGCTTTAGGAGAGTGGTCTGTAAGATCCTGCGCGATAAAAATTGGAATGAATTAATAACGTAATAACAAAGTTAGTAAGCGGGGAACCACGCGTAAATATCTTTAAAGAAAACGGAGCATTTTTAACTAATTTTTTGAAAAATCTGAGCAAACTCCCATCCCATTACTGTCGTAAAGACACCGATAGACTCTATCTGGAGCAAGTGTTTCAGTCTGGTTTAGATTTGTATATGGCTTACTGCAAATTTTGTGCCGAAAATAGAAGGAAACCATTAACTCACACTTGTTTGGGAAGTATGATGGATACAATGAAATTATCTATCTTTCATCCACGCAAAGACCAGTGTGACACATGTTTCAAATTTAAAAATGGAAATTTATGTGAAACAGAATACAATTACCACATAATGAGAAAGGATCTAGCTAGAAGTGAAAGAGAACGAGACAAAAAAGAGGCTATTGAAGGGAAGGTCTTTGTTATTACAATGGACGTTCAGTCAGTGAAACTAGCTCCCCAGTTACCGGCCAGTGCACTTTACTACAAAACCAAACATTGCTGTCACAATTTCACTGTCTACAACTTAGCTAATAGTCAATCCAGTTGCTATTGGTACAACGAGATAGAGGCAGATGGTCAAGCATCCACAAACGCATCTTTTCTAGAACATTATTTGGAAGAACATTTTCTGCGCTCATCAAATAAACTTCCCATAATTATCTATTCTGATGGGTGCACGGCACAAAATCGGAACAGTGTAATGTCCAACACCTTGCTTTACTTATCTGAAAAATACAATGTCGTGATCGAACAAAAATTTTTAGAAGAAGGTCACACTCAGATGGAGTGTGACTCAGTGCACAGCTCTATCGAGACAGCGTTAAAAAATAAGGAAATGTATCTTCCTAGTGACTACCTAAGGGCCACAAAGGATGCCAGGCGTAAAAATCCATTCACTGTTATAAATTTTGATCACACCTTTTTTAAAAATTTTGGCGACAAAAATCTCATGAAATACAACTCTATTAGACCCAGTAAATTAGTTGGTGGTAAAACAGTTACAGATATTCGTGTTTTAAGATATACTAGTGGAAAAATATTTAAAATTAATTTTAATGATTCCTTTGAAGACATACCAACTAGACCAAAAAATATAATTTTTTCAAGTGTTCAATTTCTACCATTGTTTCAAAGCAGATTGGTAATTTTAAAAACCAAGTATGACCATCTGCAATAATTAATAAAATCAGTTATTCCCAAAGACTGTTGGTCTTTTTATGATTTGTTGCCGTATAAGTCTTAATGTTCACCAATGTCATTTTTGTTTTTGTATTACTATAATTTAGTATTTAGTTAACTTATTTTTTAGTTTTTAACGAACAAAATGTACCAGTCTTTCATTTTTTTTATTTTCCTGTATTTTTCAAGTAAGTAGTTTTAAATAAATTTGTTATCAAATAAATACATAATTTTAGAAACGAACGCACTTGTCTTACTGTTTTCAAAATAATTGTGATGTATTATCACTATAATTAAACATTACCTCGTAATTGACAGGCAAAAACCGACATTACCTCGTAAGTGTCTCTATTTTTTTTAAATTTAGCTTTGTGCCTTTTATCTTTTATAAAATCAAGAAGTTTACAATACAAAAGATTTTTTATTCATCCTATAAAATAAGCTTCTTGATACTTACGAGGTACTGTCTTTGAACCCTCGCATTATGTTATAAATTCAAGGACTGGGACATCTGTAATGACTCACAGTTATGGCAAGTACAAGAGAGATAAATATTTTACTACCAGTCATGATTTTTTTATAATTCACTTTTATTAAAAATTATTCCCATGAATATATGTCTTAACTACCGTCTCAAACGTTCTTAATTAAAAATTATAACATCTCAATTACCCAATATGTTTCTTCTCTCCTTGAGAAATGTCGCGAATTGTTATTTTCGTGTTACGTGTAACCCATCCCTAAGAATGCTAAGTATCGTTACCTAAACCTTAATTTTTTAATTGGCTATTTTGCAATTCGACAAGCTCACTTAGTTGACAATTTTTTAAACAAGCAAAGACGGGCAATTAGTGTGACCAAATAGCGAGAAAATTCGTTTAGTTGGATATTTTGTAACAACAAAAAAAATTACAAATACTTACTTCTGTTGTTAATAGCACCAGCATTTCCATAGTTTTTTATATTTACAGTTATCGCTTGTTCTATATTTGTAATATAAATGTCGTCTACGCTAGTCATCCGCGAAAAGTCAGCTTGATTTGGTTCAAAGACTCTTCTGATACCCAGCTAAAATATAAAGAAAAAAATTAAAATCGAAATTATTTATTTTTATTGACGAACATAAAGAATGTATAAATAGGAAGGTGTAAAGTCTAACTAGAACAAATTCTGTAACTTGATAAATAAAGGTTTGTCGCAAAATTCCTGAAACACGTCAATTTTTATTTTCAATGGGGCATATTACAAAGACATTTTTTTAATTATCTGGGTGGTGGCAGACACCCCCAACTTTTTTTTAATGGAAGGGTAGATTGATTAATTTTTTATTTGAAAGCTTTTTCAATTACAAATGAAGACCACAAGGGAAAAAGGGAGAATGTCACAATATATCAAAAATTGAGCTGATACCGCTATCTTTTAGCTAAATGCCGATATTTTATTATAACCAAACCTCCAAGACAAGAAGCTAGTATATTCACCTAATATTAGTGATTCTAAATATCAGGCACAGGGGAATAACGAGGAATGTCCACATTATAAATGGTATAAAGGGGAAATGTCCAAGTTTTGTATTCGATCGCTATTATCGTAAACTTTTAAAGACAGTATCATTTAGTTGTTTGGACATGTCACACGTGTTGTTGCATTTTTTGCAAGTCAGTGCCTGTTTTAATATACCTAAATAAATAGAAAAATGGAAGAATTAGAAGAACAGCAGAGCGAAGTATTAAATATTAGGAAGTTTAGGAAAAGATCAAGTCATGGGCGACTTCGAGATGTTAATAAAAAACTAAAGTTAACGATTCATGAATTAGGGGACGATTGTCTGTGTAAGAGACTAAAGTGTTTTCAAAAAACCACTATTAAAGAAAGACAAGTCATTTTAAACAACTTTAATCAACTGAATTCAACTACCCAACAAAATTAATACTTATGTGGACTAATATCATGTAAGACTAGCCAACGAAGACGTCCACGAAAATCTGAAGATACCGCATTACTGCACGACAAGTCTTATTCATATCATGTCAAAATTAAAAGAGACGCAGATATTTTGGAGATACCTGTATGTTATAAGGCTTTTTTGTCCATACATGGCATTACTAAAAAGAAAATGGAGTACCTACAAAAATCTTTGAAAGCAACAGGTACTTATCCTACCGATTTAAGAGGTAAGCATTCAAATCGGCCTACAAAAAAGTCTGGAGACTATTAAAAGTGTAGAAAGTCACATACGATCATTTAAAGGATGTAAAAGTCACTATAGCCTTAAAAAAACAGATCGCCTATATTTAAGTGAAGACCTTAACATTGCAAAAATGTATAAATTGTATGGTGAAACATATCCAGATCAACCAGTTTCATACGAATTTTACAGAAAGACATTTAATACAAAATTTAACACTTCTTTTGGTTATCCACGTAAAGATACCTATAGTGCTTGCGATCAATATACTGCTACTAAAAAAGGTATTCAAGTATTATTTAATGTCACTGGTAGGTATTCTACCGATCTTTTATTAGTCATCTTTTTGTCCAATCATAGTTTTTGTTAGTTACATGTTAAAGTTTTCAGGTCGATTCTTCTATGGTTTTACCGATACAAGTAAGACCGTGTCGTTGGCAAATGTGGTTACTTTCATATTTTACATTTATGGTATGTCAGAAGTAAACAACAGGTAAATAGCTGGTCCCAGAATACTTCCTTAAGGTACCTCTGCTTTAGTTTTTTTAACCTTGGAATATTCTTCTTCTTGTTTACTCGGAAGATTCTATCAGCCCAGTAAGATTTTAAGATGTCACAATATTGCCTAGGTAGAAGTTTATTTATTTTATATTCAAGGCCCTCTAACCATTCTTTATCGAAACACACACACACACACACACACACACACACACACACACACACACACACACACACACACACACACACACACACACACACACACACACACACACACACACACACACACACACACACACACACACACACACACACACACACACACACACACACACACACACACACACACACACACACACACACACACACACACACACACACACACACACACACACACACACACACACACACACACACACACACACACACACACACACACACACACACACACACACACACACACACACACACACACACACACACACACACACACACACACACACACACACACACACACACACACACACACACACACACACACACACACACACACACACACACACACACACACACACACACACACACACACACACACACACACACACACACACACACACACACACACACACACACACACACACACACACACACACACACACACACACACACACACACACACACACACACACACACACACACACACACACACACACACACACACACACACACACACACACACACACACACACACACACACACACACACACACACACACACACACACACACACACACACACACACACACACACACACACACACACACACACACACACACACACACACACACACACACACACACACACACACACACACACACACACACACACACACACACACACACACACACACACACACACACACACACACACACACACACACACACACACACACACACACACACACACACACACACACACACACACACACACACACACACACACACACACACACACACACACACACACACACACACACACACACACACACACACACACACACACACACACACACACACACACACACACACACACACACACACACACACACACACACACACACACACACACACACACACACACACACACACACACACACACACACACACACACACACACACATCATCGCGAAAATAGTCAAAACGGATTCAGGGGACCACCTCAAAACGTAAAAATCCGTCGAAAACTCGAAGTCGAAAAAAAAATCATGATTCCTATACTTTCCTTATATCTGTATACAGATAGGAAAGTAAAAATTATAAACAACATATGCGTGAAAAATCTAATTCATAGGAAGATATTTATGAAGAAGCTATTTGCCCTTTTGAAGCCAAAGAAGGTATGGTTAATAGACCTGTTGTATATGCTAATGCATCAAATCTTATTAACGCAATATTTGAGAGTCGACATGTTAAAGAAATCCAGAATTCTAAAATAAAATTGATGGCAGATGGGGAGGCAAGGCTTTTTTATATTATGTATATCAATTTTGACAGAAGAAGAAGAAGACGAAGAAGAAGAAGAAGAAGAATAAGAAGAAGAAGAAGAAGAAGAAGAAGAAGAAGAAGAAGAAGAAGAAGAAGAAGAAGAAGAAGAAGAAGAAGAAGAAGAAGAAGAAGAAGAAGAAGAAGAAGAAGAAGAAGAAGAAGAAGAAGAAGAATTCGATTCATATTCAAAAATTTAAAAGATGACTACAATAAATTTAAATGTTTTGGCAAAGATAAAAAGTATGCTAAGGAATGCCACAGTATAGTCAATATGCTTCTCTTTTTTTATGAAAAAGGATCGGAGTATAAAGATGTCGTCGATGATGAAGTAGAAGATGACATGAACATGTACGTTCTTCAGAAATGTGATTTGCCTGAACTTCATCTGTTACAAGGATTTACAAACCACCTATTCTGGACCGGCATAGTTCCTGCTGTGGGACTCTGCTTTGACCATCAAAATTGAAGTTGGTAGCAAAAAATTATCAGGGTGAAATTTTTGATGGTAATGCCTGCCAAAAACTTTTACAAGAATCGGATAAATTGCTTGATCCTGAAAGGACCAGGCACCTTTCTTATGGAAAAATGGCTTTCCGTCAAATTTTTTGAAACGTTGATATGTTGTAGAACTCGATGCTCTGACAAAAAGTGTCCATTGGCCCAAACCGATCCTATGACTAGTTTTCGAGGTACAGGGTGTTAAACTTCGAAAATGCCACTTTTTGGTAACCAGGTTTCTCACAAAAGACCTATTTTATTCGCGTTTTTTGTAAAAAATATGATTTGTAGATTATTAGGCATTAACATTTTATAGTAAGTTACGGTAGAAATTGGTTAATTACAGGGTAGTTCGGAAATAAGTAACACGGTTTTTTGTTTGAAAGTCTTTTTCTTTATGACAGCTTTAAAAGTAAGTAAAAATATAATTCCGCAATGCAAATATATTTTAAGTAATTGCTTCTTGTTGATGAATCATATTTTATACAGGGTGACTCATAAATATGATTACAAAGGGTATTTATTCGTTTCAGCTTTAACGAGTCACCCTGTATAAACGATGAATCCTGATTTTGTTTATTAGATTAAATACATGTACAACCTGTCACCCTATGACATACAGGGTGTTAAACCGATTGCAGAAACTTTAAAAATTAGCAAAGTAGTTTTTTGTGCAACACCCTGTATTTTAAAAGTTTCCTCGTCAACTTTGTAAATTATTACATTTTTAAATTAAGAAAAGTTTAGTAATTAACTGAGCAAAATTTTGTTGTAATTCTATGACCAGTTTTTCTAAAATATTAATTCAAAGTTACTATAGTTAAACGATTTTTTAATATATATTTTGCACATCATCAAATATAATTAAATACATTATTTAAGAATATTGGATGATGCTAATATATATGTGTATACAGACAGCATAAAAAATGTATAGGAACAAAAAAAATATAGACAGAATTAGAGATTGAAGTATCAAAGGAATATTAAGGTTATGTGATGGTTCCTTGCAATAACAATTGGTGATAGATATATGAAAAAAATATATTCAAGGTTTATTTTTAAATAACACATGAAAATGTTAATAATTTAAAAGCAGGGTCTGCTATCAATTCATTTTTACGAGAACAGTAAAAAAAAACTAATAATGAAGTATCTATAAGGTGCAACAAAAATATATTTGACCTAATATTAGTTCAGAACCATTATCTAGATCTTCCTCAATTGTCCTATTTTTGATATTCTCAATATATTTAAACAAACGTGCAGATGGATGCTTAATATTTGCTTGATGTAGTAAAAGTCATGTAAATTGGCAGCATGATATTCTAGGATTGACTG